TTAAAATGAAAGACTAGCTATGTAAAATAGTGAGAAAAAAGGCTGAAAATATACCTCAGTACTTTTATTTAGTACAAGTAGAGTCTACTTCAGTGGCAATACTTTATAATATGTTAATCTGGAAAGGTTGTGGGTAAAGATGAAAGAGCTGCAAGGTTATTTCTCTGAATTAATGATAGATTAATGAAGAAGACTAAATGCTAGATTGAATTCTCAATTTTGATGAAAAGGCCTCTACTTAGAAGCAAATGGTCCTCGATACCTACATCTTGAAGGAAGAAGCACAACACCCCCAATATTTTAGGATGTAAGAGACTGACTGTGACTGCTGATAAAAATATCAATAAATATTTAGGTGTGCTAATGTTGATATGTTTATTGTGTATTTTTTGTTTGCTTTTGCTCTGAATATAAGAACACAATTTTTTCAGATGCATACAAATGATGTTATGGTAGAAACACTGCCTCTACTGTGGTACAAATTTTGTCGTAATTGAAGGTGAGTAGGGTCATGTAATCTATCCATTACACATGGGTGGTAAATGGTGGATCCAGGGTCAAATCCTAAGTCTGTTTATTTCAGGGCCAGCTCTCTTAACATCTATGATATGAATATCAAAATCAGTTTTATTTCTTTACCCTGATTGTAGCCATTTATTATGAAGAAAGGAAATCTTTATGTAAGGAGAACTTCATCCTGAGTACCACCCATTCTAAAAGACAAGTCTCTTCAGAGTTAACACCTGTTGATTAATTTATCTCCCTTTTTCCATGCAATATGTCTCTTTACCTCTAGTAATAGTCCTAGCTCTGGTATACTCTCTGATAACAATAGAAACATCTGACTTCCTTATTATTGCTGCCTAGTGTATCCTATCCTTTTATTTTAATATATTGGTGTTTTTACATTTAAAAATGAAATTGGGGATGGGAATGGATATTAAATATCACATGGAAGAGGTTAAATAAAAGTTTTTACTGGACAAAAGGGAGGTTTGCAAAGTAGAGAGAAGGCAAGGGGACCACATTCTCCCAATCTGCCCAGATATTTGCTGGGAGGCTACTTACCAGCATTGTCTTAGAACATCAGCTGCCTAGATCTGGAAATTCTTTGACCTGTGGAAAGTTACAGTCCCCACTGCTATGGTGGAACAGAGGGAAGGCCCCATGGCTTAAAATTAACCTCAGCGTGGTCTCATCTATTGTGCTGAGAGGAGAATGGCAGACAGGGTTGTACAGACAAGTCTTAGTGAACAGCTATGTTCATTTTTTTCTTTATTTTAATTAACACTATTGCAGATGTCCCTATCCCCCTTCTTTACCCTAGTCCTTCCAGCCCCTGCTCTCCCTGTCTCTGTGAGTTTTACATATACATTCTTTGGCTATTCCCTTTATCTTCCCTTTACCTAGTCCTGCACCTCCTGACAGCTGTCAGTGTGTCCCATGTATCCATGCCTCTGTTTCTATTTTTTTGGTCAGTTTATTTTGTTCATTAGCTTCCACATATAAGTAAGACCATATGGTATTTGTGTTTCTCTGACTGGCTTATTTCACTTAGGGTAATAATCTGCATGTTTATCCATGATGTCACAAAGGTAAGATTGCTTTCTTTTTCATGGCCACATTGTATTCCATTGTACAAATGTACCACAGCTTTTGTGTCCTCTCACCTACTCATAGGTATTTGGTTTGTTTCCAGATCTTGGCTATTACAGGCAATTCTGCTGTGAACATAGGGGTGCCTATATTCTTTCAAATTGCTATTTCAGGATTCTTAGAATATGTTCTCCGAAGTGGGATCATTGGGCCAAAAGGCAGTTCTATTTCTCCACATCATCGTCAGCACTTGTTTGTTGATTTATTGATTATGTTGCCATTCTGACAGGTATGAGGTTTTATGTCATTGTGAGTTTTAATTTGCATGTGTATGATGATTAATGATGGAGAACATTTTTCATATGGCTTATTCATCATCTGTGTGTCCTATTCAGGTTCTTTGCCCATTTTTTAGTGGGATTATTTTTTTCCCTGGTGTTGAGCTGTATAGTTCTTAATATATTTTGGAGATTAACCCTTATAAGATGTATCATCAGTGAATAATGTTCTCCCACTCAGTGGATTCCTTTTCATTTTTTGATGGTTTTCTTTGCTGTGCTGATTTTCCCCAGAATCATGTCTCCCTTAGCTCTTCTCTCTTCCCTCTCTTACCTAAAGTTTTGGTATAGAGTGACACGGCATATGAAAATCTTGAGAGATTTTTGGCAATATAAGTGGAGTATTTTTCTGAAAGCAAAGCAAAGCTCTTCCTTTTTCAATACACTAGTGCTAGAAACACTTATAGTTGAGTTTCAATCACTGAAGAAAATAGGGTGAGGTAAGAGCAATAACAAAAAAATATTTAGATTGTCTCTATGAAACTAAAAAAAATCCTGAAATAAAACACAAGCCCACATACAATGTTTCAGTTTCAATGATTTAACAGTGCTGAAAAGAAAGGGCAACATTTTTGCACTGTTGGGGGAAATGCAGATTGGTGCAGCCACTGTGGAAACCAATATGGAGAATCTTCAAAAAATTAAAAATGGATCTGCTCTTTGACCCAGTGATCCCACTTCTGGGAATATATCTGAAGGAACCCAAAACATTAATTCAAAAGAACATAAGCACCCTTATGTTCATTGTAGCGTTATTTATAACCACCAAGATATGGAAGCAGCCCAAGTGTCCATCAGTAGATGAGTAGATCTACTCAACTATGGGACATTTACACAATGGAATACTACTTGACCATAACAAAGAAGAAAATTTTACCATTTACATCCATGGATGGACCTGGAGAATATTATGCAAAATGAAATAAGCCAGCCAGAGAAAGACAAATACCATATGATTTCACTCATATGTGGAATCTAATGAACAAACTGAACTAACAAGGAAAATGGGAACAGACTCATAGATGGAGAGCAGGATGGCAGCTTGTTGGGGGGAGGTTAGGGGATGGAGGGATCAAGCAAAAAGGAAAAAGGACTCATGGACATGGACAACAGTGTAGTGATTGCTGGGGGAGGGAGTATAAGGGGACAAAATGGTAATGGACAAAGTACAATGAAAATTAAATTTAAAATAACTGTTACAGACTTCTCTGGTTTTAATTCATCTGCATTACGAAGGAGAGTTTGTCACCCCTTCCTTTTGTGTGTCTGTGTGGTGTGTATGCATGCAGTAGAGAAACCTGCTGTTATTGGTATTATGTATTATTGACTCAAGTTATAAATGTTAATGTTAGTTGACTTACCTGTTGTACATTTCTTTGTTTTTTAATCAGAAAAAAAGACACTTAATTAGTTAATTAGATATTGAAATACAGGCCAAATAATTTTTCAGAGTTCAGTTGTATGAAATACTTGTAAACAGATGTGTACTGGGGCCTTAAATATATTTGTAAATCAAAACAAGCCATCATTGTCTCATCTATACTTTTAGATGAATTATCCGTAAGTTATTTGTTTGCCATTTCAGAAAAAAAGGAAGGGTAAGTTTTTATTTAGTATTTACTTGTATGTATGTGTGCTAATATGTGAAAAATTAGAAAAAATAATCTGCCATTTAGAAAAAAATATGTGTACCTGAGAGTAGGTATGTTTAAATATTATTTATTATTACAAAAGAGCAATGGTTCATTCAACATTCCCTAGGCAGATAAAGCTCATTATAAAATATGATAGAAAAATATTATAGATTATTAGTACAATATATTTGCTGAGAAAAATCTTCCAAAGTACCACAGTTTTATTTGTAATTATGCAATGATATAACATTTAGGCTGATTTTCAAAGAAAATGCAGCAGATACATTTTGCATGACTATTTTTCAGGCTAGATTCAAATTTATAGATTGCCTATATATTCTTGTATGCTATACCAGGCAATGAGTTCTCTAGATATATGCCATTTACTCTAATGTCTCTAGGAGCATACATTTTATTTGCATAACCACATTTCCTTTATATGCCATAAGTTTAGCAAAATGGATCAACTGAAAACTATTGCCCTAAGCTATGTTGCATTTTCTTTAGCAAAAGAGACCATTGCTGTATGGGGGGAAATGAAATCTGAATTGGATCAGTGCTGCTTGTGTGAAACTTATAAAATGCATGGGATCTTTAACAGGTGAGGAAAAAGTAGAGCTCTTATTCATCAATTCAGCTCACTGAGAAAATTATAAGAAAGCAAGGATCAAAATGTTGCTTTGGAATACTGTGTTGCTCTACTCAAGTACCTCAGACATGTCTTAAAGAAGAATGGCTTCTATTGTGTGCCTGAATGTTAGTTTTATCTGTCACATTAAGATTTATGTTTTATGGATTTGCCCCAAGATAAAAGAAAAAAAGAAGCGGTTCTCACCAAGGGAGACTGCTACTTCTTTATCTCTTCTTTTCTCTTATTTTTGGGATATCTCTTTTCTTATCAGAAGTACCCACTTCTGTTATTACAGACATTTTCTTTTGATCAGGATAAAATTCAGTGATAATACGTGTGAGAAGTGATGTACAGGGAGGGAACAGAGTCATGTTGCTAAAGGCAAACAAGAAGTAGATGATGAAATTCACTAAGTATTTGAATCTCTGCCTCCTGCTTTCATCTCCCCAAAATATCCTTTATAAATGGCACAATAAAAATATGTGCCTTTTTGAAAAAGGGCATTTTTCTGTATCATGCCAAATATAAACTTGAATAATTTGTGCTTTAAAATAGATCTGCAAGTTAGCCAGCATATTACTTTTATTTAAAAACGTGGGATATCTGTAATAGTGTAAACAAGCTAAATAATGATCTATTTCTCAGGGCCATGTGAAGATTAAATAAAATAATGTACATTAAGTGCTAAACATAGTTTTTCTTAATTAAAAAATTCTGGATACATGGTGAAAATAAAATAAAATAGTAAAAAGAATGAATACAAGCAGAGTATATTTTCAAATAACTTTCTTTGGTTTCCAGGTACCATTCTGGTGGATAACATGCTGATCAAAGGGACCGCTGGAGGACCAAACCCCACCATAGAACTCTCTTTAAAGGACAACGTGGATTACTGGGTGCTGTTGGATCCTGTTAAGCAAATGCTTCTCCTGAACAGTACGGGCAGAGTTCTGGATAGAGATGTTAGTGAAGTTTTCTTTGTGTTACAACTTTATTTTACTTTAATTATCTGTACATGTTTGTGTTTGTTGATATATCAAATTTTCTTTGTGTAATTTGACTTTATTTCTTATGCTCCTCAACAAAAACATTTTTTAAACTTTCTGAAAGAAGAATAAGAAAGGAAGGGACCATGTGTATCTGAGAGAACCATTGAATCCTCCTTCTATAATCCTGGAAGCTCATCAGGTTTCAGAACTGGGAGAGAATAGAGTGGTCAGAATAAAGGATCAGTAACCTTGGAAAAGTGGGATAAGCACAGAGATTTTCTATGGTGAGGTTTAAACATGCAACTAGTCACTGACTTGAGGACAGAGAGTTCGGTAGGAATAAATGGACAGCCGCTTTTGCAAGCAGTAAGCATTGGTTGAGGGGCCAGCTTGTGGTGATATGCTATTACAACTGCAAGAAAACTAAAGAAGGTGAAAGTTGCTCACCCATTTCCTGACAATGTCCCCATCCAGCTGCTCCAGTTCAGCCATTCTAAAGTAGCATGGCCTCAGTATTTAGTTAAGAACAGATAAATTACCAAAGTCATTGAATGTCTCATTTCTGAAAAAGGTTAAAAACTTGAGTATATTTATTTTAATTTAACTTTATTCTCATTTATTTGCAATTCAGTCTTGTGTACAGAATAGAATATGTGAGTAGTGGGGGTTTTAATAACTGGTAGTAATTGTACAGGACCTTGGGAAAGCTCAAGGAGTACATCTAAACATGTCTACTCCCAAATTTCCAGTTTATAAAATTCAAATGTCAGATATTCAGTTTAGTGAACCAGAGTCATCTCAACACCTTGTGCATGATTTATGATCCATTTTCCAATATGGCATAAACTAGATGATGCCTACCCTATTTCACATCTAAAATTCAGAGTATTTAAGAGGCTTTGTGGTGTGATGGGCAGTACATAGGACCCTCTCACCAGAGTGTGCTGCCTTTGCATACTTGGGGAGACCCACAATTTAGTTCTCTGAGCAGTGGTGGCAAATATGAAACTTGAGTAGCAGTGGAGGATAGGAATGGGGCTGTTGGGATCAATATAGGGAAAATAAGTAAATTTTAATGCTGTCCCCATTCCCACCACTGCCTGCTACTCACTATGTCTTTTATCACAGCAACATTCCTTATATACCATAGTTTATCATTTTGGCTGGGTGCCTAAGGTCTAAAATGGAATAAAGACAGATGCTATTTTCAAAATCTCTTGTCTTAATTTATCTTATAATAAATCTTAATTTTTATAAAAATAATCTGGACAATGATACAAGCTAGCAAACTGTAAGATTCCCCCATCCCCTGGCCCTGCCACCTTACTCACAGACATCCTTTATTGGCCCTATTTAGGTACACCCATGTCCAAGTCTCATGCATTTTATAGCATGTTAGAAGAATTATGGGATGTTTATCAATTTGAGACCACTGTAATTTTACATTTTGTATCCTTTTTTAAAGTCACCTTATAGATGATTATGATAATTTACTGGTTCACTAAAAAATTACTTTTTGGAGCCTATTTCCTTACATTTAAAATACAAATTTTAGACTTGAATTAAAAGTAGAGAGAAAGGATATTGTTTAGTATAAATAAATGATCGTCCATATATTCAGCATATAATATTGTTTAAATTTTAATTACTTCCCAAAATTGTATTTACTTTTCAAGATAAGTATCTGCTTGGTATTATTTTTTAAATTTTAAATATGGTCATTATTTATTGGACATTGGCTAAACTGAAACAGTGTCATAGGAATACACTTAAAAATGATTTGACATGAAAGTAATAATTGCAAAAATATGCACAGGTATCATTTAAAGAAAAATCCAGGCTGGTTCTTTAACCTAATAATGAAATAAAGTTTCTATTCTATGGTCAAGTTAAATCTGCGAAGATGCTCTGCTAATTAGAGTGTTGCCAGTGATCACCCAACTGAAATTAGCTAAAGATGGTGGAGACTAGGTCATCTAAAGAATATTAAAAATAACATCAATATTACAAAGGAAAATTTGTAAATTAATAAAACTCCACATGCTTACATACTAGGAATGTATTTACCATTTGGCAAATAAACTTATTGAAATAATACTAAGACATTGAATAGAAGATGCTCTAAGCCATAGTAATATGAAAATTTAAGCCTATATAGTTAAATAATGTCATACCAGAGATTTATCGTTACCATCTTGCACAGGTACTTCCACTTGCTGGTGAGATTTACATAATTAAATTAAATGAAAGACACAGGACTTGAACCTTTGTATGAGTAGGAACTTTTTAGCTTTCACATTTTTTTTTGTATTTTGTTTTCATTCCTATTGTTGTTGTTATTGTTACATATTTTATTGGTTCACTGTTATAGTATATTTGGTTTATATGCAGAAAGTTTCATCTAGAAACTATAAATGAATTCCACACAGCTAATTAACAAAAAGTCAGGTTACCAAAAGCTTGTTTTTTAATATTAGGGAGTTCTCCTTGGATAAAGGTGTGAATTAAATTTAAACAAGAAGTTAGAAGTGTAAGTGTAAAAATAAAGCAAAGGATCATGTGGAAGAAATAGAAGTATAGGTGTAGTGTAGAAAAAGGAATGTAGAAGAAGTACAAATTGTAAGAAGAATTGTAAGTGAAATTCAGAGCTGCTAGATGGTAATAGAGGCCATCAAATTAAAGAGTAACCATAAATGGGGGAAAAGACAACCTCTTGTTAGAAACTACTAAATCTCTATATTGGGAATACATTGATCATCAAAATGTATTTCACCAGAATTAAGTTTCCAAGAATCAAGAAAAGAATGATAATTGGCTGAAATACAGTTTTTGACTTATGGCTTTGTCAGTGTTTTCATCTTTGGGAGGTGGAGCACTTAGGATTCTGATAAAATCTATATCCTCATTCCTCAGGAAAAAATTTATTTGCAATCATTTTCAAGAGTTTTACTAACTACCTAGGTTACAGAGCCCAAGTTATAGATCTTGCCTTGGTTAGATAATCTTCCTCTTCTTCTTCTACTTCTTCTTAAGTCTCAAATTGTTAGGGAATCTTGTATCTCAAAATTAGTAATTCTAAACAGAAGTAAGAGAAAGAATAATCATTTACCACATATGAATTTTTGTCACATCTCACTGGAGTAACTTTCTATAGACTTAATGATTTCTTTAGATTTTAGATACTTGTTATTTTCCATAACAGAAGTAATATTTATATGAATTTCAAAAATCAAATCTTAATTTAACTTCTTCAGTGCAGTTCACATGTCCTAGATTACCTTTTTTAAAATTGTTTTAAATTTATCTTACTGCTGCTACAGTGGTTTTTTTCTTTTAAATCAGCATGTAAAGGTTTTTGTCCTGAAAATTCTTAACCCCAGGCCCATCTATTTTATGCATAGTAAGACCATTGCTGCTAGAAAAGTGTATAGAAATCACTGCTTTTAGTCTAAATCTCATCAAATTGAATTTCATTTAATTGTAAAATGGTATAAATTTGGTAGTAAATATATCAAAAAAGAAAACAAATCAATGGGTAGGGATTATTTAAAATATCAGTATCATAAACATGAAAAATAATTTGATTTTGGCCAAGTGAAAATTTACCTAGGACAGAGAAAAATTACGTAGCCTTAGACCATATAGTCTCTAACCCCTGCCTTTCTCTGTGCATATCCTGCATTTTTGTCCCTGCAGAGTAGATTCCTTTATACACATAATTTTGCTTTCCTGTTTTTTTTTTTTTGGTTTGCACTTGACTTTAGCTCTTATTAATGTGCAGTCCACTGTGACTCTTTATAAGCTTTCAATGCAATGCAGACTAACTATATTCACTGTTTTGTTTTGTTTTGTTTTATTATCTAATTAGTGAAAGGCAGCATCTAAAAACTTACGGGCTTTAATCAATTTTAGCTAAGGAGGTGAGAGTGAGGTCATGTGATAGGTCCATGTTCAATTATACCTGCCCGTGCAGCAGTGGGTAAGGGAAGTGTATTTTCCAGGAATGGCATTCCAAATCATGTTTTCTACATGTGGTTCAACAAGGCCATAAACTTTCTCTTAATGGAAATATCTGGGCACTTATGGCTGCATCGAGCTAAAGGAAAAAATTAAGTAAATTACAAATATTTTAAGATTAATTATTAAAATACAAGCTTGCAAACTCATAATTTTTATGAAGATTCTGGGGAAAATATGAACAGATAAATTCCTAAGCTCAAAATATTTATATTTAATTAGAAAACTTTTGTATGATATTGTATATATTTGAGCTGTTGAAAATTTTCAAACTTAGTCTATAGGCCTTGTCCTGATTGTTATTAATTTTTATTCCTTTTTTTATTAATGTTCACTAAAGTTACATGAAATTTCTTCAAAAAAGACAGAGAGAGAGAGTTATGATGATAAAACAACCAAAAAATGCCATCTGACATGAAAATTAAGTCTCAGTAATGAAGGATCATCACATAAGATTTTTGAAATGTTAAAACATTGTCTTACTTGGCCAATATTCTCTAAGTTCTGTTTGGCATGGGATAATAATGGCTGTGATAACATCAATAATTAAAATAATAATAGAAAGATATAATTCTGGCACAGTCTCATTATACTTACTTCAAAACTCTGAGCAAACTTCTAAAAACTTAGAAGAGAGAAAAATTATTTTCATGGCAATTCCAAGTACCTTAGCATCCCTTCTTTCAGAATCTTTGTTGGTTGCTTCACAAAAGTTTTGACCTCTATGCCCAGACCAGTATCTATTCAACTAAGCTTCACAGGGTATCTTTCATTTGCATTGTCAGCATGACTCCAGTACAAGCCCTCCTAGTTCTCACTTGTACTTTTGGACTAACTCCTAGTAGCTCTTTCTACAGCATTTCATGTCCCAACCTAATCTAGGTTTAGTGCCCCACAACAGAGTCCGGACCTTGTCAGTAGAGGACGTTTCATTGCAAACTGGTTTATCTGGCTCT